GGGGCTGCAGAAGTGCGGCTGGGTGATCTCCCCATCTACATTTACGTTCGCGACTAATTTCTACGTCTCGATCTATCTGATACGCTACAGTTGCCATTATTCTCTATGAAAGGTTAACACGATGAGAAATGATCACTAGATTTTTTTGTACCGAACAACCCTTCTTCCCATTCGGAGCCTTTGGAGCCATCACAACCTGCAGTTTTCAGAGCTGAATGGAGGCGAGACCTAGTCGTGGTACACATAACACCTGCGAAAAATTTGTCCACAGTTGATGCCGCCTTGGAAAACGGTGGCTAGGAGTATATGGCGCGTTCGCGAAAAGAGTAAACACCTATCGACAAGAAAACTCGCAGAACAAAGTACTATCGCACAATTTCCTGAGTATTCGTTCAAATTGCTTGTGGCACATTATGTCCTTTTCCTCAAAGTGGGAACTAGAGCTCTTTGAGCTTCGAGTTTTTTTTTCTGTTTTCTCAACAATGTTCCGGGAAACAGGCGCACACGGAAGTCACAGGTCCTTTGTTTCAGCTGGAACTTAACGACTCAACGCAAATTGGGAATTGTTTGCGTCAATTTACATAACGGTTCCACCTTGGGGCTAATTTAGCATAAAACCAGCACCAAAGCAAACCCGAGCCCCATCACTATTTCCAGCTTCGGCAGTTTATGCGCTCCAGTGTGAAAGATACGGTAACGGTGATGAGTTTCGCGGCCTTTAATGTTTTCAATCCGATTTAAAGTCAGCATGTGGATTATGTACTTTTATTTTGTTCCCTGGTTTTATATTACGAGCCTTACTTTTTGTTTTTATCGCAGCCACAAAATCACTCGATTTCCAACTCGCCGGTTCCATCCATACAGAGTTTCAGAAAGATCATTCGGGAGGAACTGGATGATCTACACATTGTACCGTTTCTCTCTGAAGCATGAGGGTTTTTTTAATCTCACCTTTCTTGTTCATGCATTTTGCCTAAATGAAGGCACGATTTTTTTCCTGCGATTTCTTTACTACCAATGCAATCCCTCTCCCAGCATCGTTTTTCCATCTTTTGAAGTTCTTACTGGAGAAGAATCTCATCGTTCTTGTTGTGATTCTATTTTTCTCTCACTCTACGTAATGTCGTCGCGTCTAGAATAGTTCAGGATAGTTTCTAATCATTTAGATCGACAATGGGTGACCACTATGGCTTCTCTCTGACCACATTCAGGTATCGAATTTTTCGTTGGTTTTTGGTCATCTGCCTTCCTTTTTGTGCCTTTTCTTTTTCTTTTGTTTTCTTCTTTTTTTCTATTTTGCCTTTTAGTCCGTCAGGAAAATTGATGCAGATCGAATACGCACTGAATGCAGTGAAAAATGGCCAGCCGTCAGTCGGACTAAGAGGTGGGTATTTGCAGGGTGGAATTTGAGGTTAGTGGAGGGGAGTGTTGGCGACGAAACTTGACCGCTCCTCTTTTGGTCGCCTAGTCCTCTTTCAAGAACTGAACCTGGCGCAGTTCGGCGATGTGGGGGAGGGCATTTTGCACTTTCGCTGCTTCACCAGTTCCGGTTTACAAGTCTCACTCTGGTGAAACCTGTGAACTCTTGTGAAGTGGAGCAAGCTCGTCAAGCCATCATGGTAAAACCTGTCAACTCGAGAAGAGGCTGTCTAGATGGGTCGACACGTC